AACGGAAACAAGGGGTCACAAGACCAGTCAAGAACAAGCATAAAAAAACAAGCTCAGGGTGGCGCTCAGAGTCACCACACACTCCGAGCACAAGCAAGTGGCCACAAGGCCAGTTCAAGAGTTTACTAGTATATATAGAAGCACAACAAGTAGAGCAAACAGCAAGTCTACAGCAACCGAGGGCCTACCTCAACAAGCCCCAACTGCACACAGAACCTGTGGTGGTCACCAGGCGCCAAGGCCTTGGTGAAGACGTCGGCAGTGTTGGCCAGTGAGGCCACAAAGTCCAAACGTGCCTGACCGCGTCGCTGCAACTCTCGCAGGTGGAAGTACCTCACGTCAATATGCTTCACTCTGCTCTCCAGTCGAGGCTCTCGACACAGGAGGATCATGGCCTTGTTGTCAGCGTACAAGGTCGGTGCAGAGCGAGGCCGCTCACCAAGGTCGGCGAGCAAGAAGGTCAACCAGCGAAGCTCCTGTGCCGCCATGGCACCAGCGTAGATCTCTGCCTCTGCACTGGAAGTAGCCACAGACGACGACCGTGTAGACCTCCACGACACGGCACCAGCTCCCAGACTGAAGCAGTAACCCTGAGTCGAACGCTGAGTCTCCACGTCGTCAGCGTAGGAAGAGTCGCAGTGACCAGTCAACGCCACTGGCTGAGTCCCTCCAAGCACAAGCCCCATGCCTGATGTAGTCGCCAGGTACTTCGCCACCCTCACAGCAGCTGTCCAGTGGACAGGGCGGTGTCTCCCAGTCGCAACAAAGCGAGAAAGGATGCTGAGTGGAAAGGCGAGGTCCGGTCGAGTACAAGTCATCAGGTACATGAGGCAGCCCACCAGCTCTGCGTAGGGTCCACTGGACTCAAAGGGCTCGTCAGGAAAGGGGCACGTGAGTCTGTGGTCAACAGCAAGAGGAGTGGGCTGTGTGGTGGAGAACTGGAAGTCGAACCGCCGAAGGACCTGCTGCACCATGTGTGACTGCGTCAGTGTGATGGTGCGAGCGGCTCTGTCCCGGGTGATCTGCAGGCCAAGGTAGCGCTGCAGCTCACCCAGGTCAGTGCACTTGTGTCTCTTCTGCAGTTCGGACTTCACCTGAGCCAGGGCTGCCCTGTCTGCTGTAGCAAACACCAAGTCGTCGACGTAGACAAGGATAAAGAAAGGAGTAGAACCCGCTCGAACAAACAGCGACGGGTCGGCGGAGGACGGGCTGAACCCAAGGTCACGAAGCGTGGAGCGAAGAGTGTCGTGCCACTCACGGGGCGACTGGCGGAGACCGTAGACTGGTCGCCTCAGGCTCCACTGGGGTCCCAGGTGGGAAGGGTGTCAGTGAAGCCAGGAGGACGGCGCAGCCAGATCTCCTCGTGTAGTCGGCCCTGGAGGAACGCAGTGGAGAAGTCGAGGGAGTGCAGCTCGTAGTCTCGCTGCGCTGCTATGTGGAGTAACACCCGAAGAGTAGTCATCTTCGGGGTCGGGGCGAAGGTCTGGAAGAAGTCAACTCCCTCACGCTGACTGAAGCCCCTAGCCACGTAGCGCGCCTTGAACACCGGCGGTGCTCCAGGCGGCCGCTTCACCTTGAAGAGCCACATGCCATCGACTACGTTCGTCCCTGGGAGGGGGAACTGCGTCGACGTAGGTGCCTGTGGATCTCCAAGACGCCAACTCTGAGTCCATAGCCGCTTTCCACTGAGAGGCCACGCCCCTGACACTGCCTCGCGGTAAGTGCGAGGAGTCGGTATGTCAAGGGCGTCGGGGTCTCCCTCAGGGGAGAGCAGCATGGCCACACACAGAGGGAGAAGCGGCCTGCCCAGTACTCCAGCTCAGACTCTCTGTCCTCTAGGACGTCACAGCCAAGGGCAAACCCACCCCCGACGGACAGAGGACGGTAGGGAGGAGCTGGCACCACACGGGTGGCGTAGTCAAGGCGGCTGGCGGCAGCAAACTCAGCGACAGCGGCAGTAAGAGCCGAGGCAGACGACGGAGGGAAACGAGAGTCGGTGACAAGAGTGGCGAGGACACGTGCTGGCAACAGGACGAACAACGCGGTAGTAGTCAGAGATAGGAGTGGGAAGGGCTGGTAGGAGGACGGAGGAGGAGACGGGAGAACGGACACAGGAGAAGGAGAACGACGACGAGACAAACAAAGGAGGGCAGTGTGGAGGTCAGTAACAGGGGACGAGTGACGAGCACGCGGAGGACAACGAGTGAGCAGGTCGCGCCGGACAGAGGGAGGAGGAGAAGACCAGACCGCCGGACGGTCGTCAGGAGGAGGCAACGGAGGAACAAACACAGGAGGAGACTGGGACTGCGGACAGGAGGAGAGGAGGAAAGGCCAAGGCCCGCAGGCCACTCACAGGTGGGAACAACCGCCGCTCCAGAGGAAGCTGCGGTGGCGGCTGCGGCCGCTGCTGCTGCGGCTGCGGCTGCTGCTGCTGCGGCTGCGGCGGCGGCTGCGGCTGCTGCTGCTGCTGCTGCTGCTGCCGGCTGCTGCTCCAGAAGGTCCAGCACCCGCAGCTCCTGCCGCTCCCTCTCCAACCGCTCCTGCTCCTCACGCTCACGCCGACGGGCAGCCTGGAGACGCGTGTCGTGGCGGTGGGGAGGCGGAGTGGACTCCGCAGAACTAGGGTCTCCAGCGTCAGGTCCCCTCAGACTCAGCACCCCCAGAACCAGCACCGCCAGTGCCAGGACCTCCAACTCCAGCACCCCCAGAACTAGCACCGCCAGTGCCAGCACCCCCAACTCCAGCACCCCCAGAACCAGCACCTCCAGTGCCGGCACCTCCTGCTCCAGCACCCCCAGAGCTAGCGCCACCTGCGCCAGCACCTCCAGCTCCAGCACCCCCAGAGCTAGCGTCACGTGCGCCAGCACCTCCAGCTCCAATACCCCGCGACCGAGCACCCCCAGACCGAGCACCGCCAGCGGCTGCACCTCCAGCTCCACACCCAACCGAGTCCAAAGTAACCTGTCGCGGAAGTGCTGAAGGCTGCTGAGGGGACTGTGAGGAGGACTGCGGGGAGGGAGACGCTACCTGACGCGCGACCGAGGGTAGAGGGGTAGCGTGGGACACACCAGACGGGGCAGGACCAGGGGGGGGCGGGGGTACCGGAGGAGCGGGAGCAGGAGGAGGAGAGGGTGCGAGGAAGAGAGGGGGAGGGGGTACCGGGAGACCTCGACAGGGGTACCGGGGTGTAGTAGGACACGGACTCGTCAAACCGGACGTCAACGGGAGTCCTAGGAACTGGTGGAGGGGAGGGTGGTAAAAGGACCAGTCAGCAGAGTCCACTGGGAAAACCAAGGAAGGCACATGGGACGGCGCGTGCCGAGAGCTTGTCCGCGGAGGTGTCGCAAAAACAAGTTGCAAGGAAGCCCCAGACCTCGAAAGGCCGACCCAACACCAGGGGATCCAGTCCAAAGACTGGTCGGTGAAGCCTCGGGCCGCGAGACACGCGGGCTGGAGGTTCAGCTGGTGTGCGGCGTAGCGAACCGCGTGGGGCCACAGAAAATGGGGCGCACGGGCATGAATCATGGACCAAGCCTATGCGGCGCTCAGCAACCCCATTCTGCTGTGGGGACTCTGGCAGCGTCCAGGACTGGGTGATGCCCTGTTCGCCGCAGAATCCGCCGAGAATGCCGGAGCGAAACTCGCCCCCACGGTCGGAGTGAAGACAACTGACTCGACGACCACGAGTGCCCTCAGTGGCTAGAAGCCACCTGATCAGCGTAGCAGTCACCTCGGACTTCTTCGCAAGAGGGAACACTGTGGTGTACCTGGAGAAGTCGTCGACGACCACCAGAAAGTAACGCTCCCTCCCAGACCCCTGCGTCGGGGCAGGGCCCCAGACGTCCAAGTGGAGAGTCTCGAAGGGAGCGGTGGCCGGACGAAGGGAGGAGGAGTGGGGAGTGGCGCGTAAGCGACCGGCGACGCACGGAGAGCAAGGAGGGGCAAGCGAGAGAGGGAGCGACGGGAAGGTGCGTGGGAGACCTGTGACTAGTCCCTGACTGAGCATGCCACGAAGGCGAGGGATCGACGGGTGGCCAAGACGGTGGTGCCACAGGACGGTGCGGTGGGCGAGAGAGCGACAGGAGCAAGACGCAGCGACTGGACTGGACACAGCGACCGGACTGGACACGACTACCTGGCTAGACACAGCAACTGGACTGGGGACCTGAGCCGGAGGGGGACGCAACAACCTGAGGGGAGGACGCGACCGGGAGCGCTCGGTGTGGAGAACGTAGAGACCGGAGCGGGGCTCCCTGGTGAACGTGGCCAGAACAACACCTGTGGTAGCGTCAGTACAGACTGCAGTCCGCCCCCCCCCCACAAAGGTAACGGTGATCCCCCTGTCCTGGAGGTATCCAACACCCACCAAGTTCCGAGTGAACGAGGGGATGTGGAGGCCGCGCAAGACACCAGAGGGGACCACAGGGCACGGGAGGGTGGTGGAGCTGCGCGCAACGGCTGGTCCTGAAGAAGGATCAGCCAAAGCTACCGGAACCGGAGCAAGAAGTGGTGTGAGGGTCGTGTGGTCGCGGAAGAAACACTGCGACGTGCCAGAGTCCAGCGTGAACGACAGAGACGCCTCAGCCGGAGGCGTGTCAGGTCCGGAGGCTACACAAGCACCTAGAGCAGAAACACAAGCACCTAGACTAGAGAGGCACAGGTCTACACTAACAGGAGGCAAGCATCCTAGACTACGAACACGCGAGCACACAAATCTATCAGCACTATAGTCAACATCAGCATACAAAGCATACTGACGAGCATCGTCCATAGACAGTTCAAATACAGGAATCTTACGGGCTAGCAGGCGAGCCCAGCGCGGGGTGGTCGCCTCAGGACCCCAGCGTGCACGGTAGAGGTCGTCGAGGCGGCGGAAGCACCGCGCTGCAGAGTGGTCGTCGCGGCCGCAGACACAGGGACTGCCAGGTCCGGTGACGCACCAGTGGTCGCAGGGGCCGGTGTCGCGCCGCGGGGGGCGAGGGGCCCAGCTGGTAGTGCTGCTGCTGCAGCCAGTGCTCCCGGGTCCTCCAGGTCCCCACTGTGGCGGAGGGCCCCAGTGCTGCTGCGGACCCCACTGCAGTGGGGGTCCCCACGTCTGAAACTGCTGTGGTGCCTGCCACTGCTGCTGTCCCTGGTGCAGCTGCTGTCTCTGCTGTGGCTGCTGCTGCTGTGGCTGCTGCTGCTGGGGCCCCGCACCACCGCTGGTCGAACCTCCTCCAGCAGGTGGGTCAGCACCTCCTCCAGAGCTCCCTCCGCCTGGGGCAACACCGCCACCACTGCCGCCCCCAGGGCCGCCTCCACCACCGCCACCTCCTCCACCGCCGCCACCCCCCTTCCCCCCTTTCTTGCCCCCCTTGCCCCGTTTCTGCCTGTCAGCGGCAGAAACAGCTGCAGTGTCCTCAGAAACCGACACAGCAGCAGAGGCACGTATAGCAGTGAAGGTAGGAAGCTGGGGGACATCACACCCCTCAAACAAACGAGGGGCAACTGCGTCAGTGGCTGAGGCAACAGAGAGGAGGTTACTCTCGATCTTCCCGAGAGTGGTCTCGAGAAGATCAATCGTAAGCTCACTGGGGTGATGCTGGAGAAGTGCGTCACGGGCAGTGGAGAGGCGGTCAGGGAGACGAGTGACTACCCAGTGGACTGTGAGCCAAATAGGAGGAGGAGCAACAAGAAGCTGAGCCTCAGTGCAAGCTGCTCGGTAGCTAGCGACAAGGGAGCGCAAGTGTGTGGCTAGGTCAGAGACAGTCGCAAAAGAGCCGAGGTCGGGAAACACGAACGGCATGAGGATGCGGCTGAGGGAGGCAGAGGAAGGGGTGGAATAGCGTGCAGAAATAGCATCATACACCTCCTTCGCAGTCTCTACCAGGTCGAAGTGAGCGGCCTCAGTCGGTGGAAGGAGCTCGGTCAGCGCGAGTGCAGCCGCAGCGTCACGGGAGTCCCAAACGTCCCGCGCCAAGACGAGACGAGCGTAGTCCGCCTGTGCCTCCGGAGTCGGGGGGGGCACGGCAGGGAGGGGCTCGAGACGCGGTGGTGCCTGGAGGGCGCCGGACGCGTGGGCGTACAGGGTGGCGCCGTCCTGGCGCTGACTGGTGAGATAGCGCTGAGTCTGGCGGAGCCAGGTGCCGAACTCTATCGGGCGCCCCTCTGCATCGAAACGAAGGCGGCGGGAGGAGTCCATATTGGACGCTAGGCTAGGAACAGCTGGAGCACGGAGCAAACGGAGCTAGGAGCGAGGAGCGCCAGGTGGGACTAGGCGAGGTACTGCTGGAGCACGGAGGAAAACTGAGCTAGGAACGCCAGTCTAGTAACGAACGGAGCTGGGAGTTAGCTGAGCTAGGAGCACACGGCTGGAGGAGGCAGGGCTGACGAGCCGATCGAGGAGCCAGAGGGTCGTTCGAGGGGCTGGCGGAGCGAGGAGAGACCTAGCTAACAACGAACGTCAGGACTAGCCTAAACAGCTAAGCGGAGCGGCCTCCAGCCGCGACGGTGCGAAACATTGTGAGTATGAGTGACGCGAGTGTCGAACCAACGGAGGTCGGGTGGTCCTGGGTGGTGTGCGCGCGTGATAAGGGGATGTGAGCGTTTGGAAGGGGCTCTGAGCGGTTGGAAGGGGCTGTGAGCGGTTGGAAGGGGCTGTGAGCGGTTGGAAGGGGCTGTGAGCGGTTGGAACGGGCTGTGAGCGGTTGGAAGGGGCTGTGAGCGGTTGAAAGGGGCTGTGGGCGGGTGGGAGGGGCTAGCTGGCGCCAGCTGCTGGCGGCTAGGTTCCGGTGGCTAGCTGCTGCTGGCGGCTAGCTTCTGCCTAGCCGTGCTGCTGCTGCAGGAGCACGCGCTGCTGCCTAGCCGTGCTGCTGCTGCAATGCACACGCTGCTGCCTAGCCGTGCTGCTGCTGCAATGCACGCGCTGCTGCCTAGCCGTGCTGCTGCTGCAATGCACGCGCTGCTGCCTAGCCGTGCTGCTGCAGCAAAGCACGCGCTGCTGCTGCAATGCGCGTGCTGCAGTGGCGTGCGCGGCTGCCGCTGGCTAACGCGCGCGCTGCTGCGGGCTAAGAACGACTACGCGGGCCCGCGGGGGGGGGGGGGAGAGTCCCTTCTGGAGCGCGACGAAACGAGGGGCCAGCGGGGCCCTGTAAACGCGGCGAAAAACGAGGCCCGCGGGGGCCCTTAAACGCGACGAAAACGAGGCCCGCGGGGGCCCTTAAACGTGACGAAAACGAGGCCCGCGGGGGCCGTCCTACCCGCGACGAAACGGGGCCTAAGGGACGGGCGCCTCGGGACCGGCTAAGGGAGGGAGCGGAAGCGTGGGAGGGAGTAAAAAACCTACTCTAATACCATCTTAAAGCGACGGGCAACTTTTGGCAGTGTTGGGTTCAGAAGTTTTTTTTTTGAACCAGGCTTGCCAGCGCGAAAGTGCTGGCTGGCGAAAACCAGGATTTCGTGCGGACACTTTCCATCCGCAGTAACAGTTCGCCAGGGTTCTGGGTTTTGGGTGGCAAATGTGCACCGTCGCTTTAAGATAGGCTAGGAGACAAGTGTCGAGAGTAATGTTTGAGTAAGGAGAGACAAGGAGATACAAATGTCGACCTAAAGTGTTGTACCCTTTAGAGGGCAACTCACTGTAGCCTATCTAACAATATATAGAATATATAAACATTTGACAGAGAGCAAGCAGCTAGACTGGTGGCAGAGTTCCTGATCTGAATGTAAATGAAGAGGCTGGTGTCCGTGAGGTAGGTACTGGTGTGTCGGGAAAACTACCAGGAAAACTACTGGTACGTATGGGATGGGGGTGATATGGGAAAGAGACTGGAGCAGACCAGGAGATTCCAACTAGAACCAGGGAATCAGTTTGCCCCCATTTCAAATAGCAGAGCAGAGCAATAGATACACCCACATGCATCTGCATACATGCACACCATTCATTCTACAGCAGCCAACAGGCGTCGTCATCATCATCATCGTCCAGTTCCCAGCTACTGCTTTCTCGTACAATCTCCACATCAGGAAGCCCAGGAATCTCACTGATCGTTTTATCGAAAGCCGGGCAGGCAACAATCCGAAGAGTATGGAGGTCTGTGAGCTTGGACATGGAATCAGGCAAGCTCGCCAGGTCGGGCCAGGAATGAAGTTTCAGCTGCTCCAGCCGCGAGAGATTCCCAATCTGGAGAGGAAGAGTGGTGAGATCTGGAACACCAGAAAGGGCAAGGGATGTCAGGCTGGATAATCTGCAAATGTTAGAAACCAAGGCTTTAGCGGAAGGCGGCACTCTTCCAGCCGGACCGGCATTCCCGCTGCTGTATGGCCAGTCAAACTCGAGTTTCTTCATGTTCGTGCAGCCCTGGAAGAGAGAGGCCGGGACCTCTGCGATGACTCCGCATCGTTTCAGGACGAAGGATCGGAGATTGGACAGCTTCGAAATGGAACCTGGTAGGCGCGTCAAGCTTTCGAGGCTGGAGAATTTTAGATGCTCCAGTGAAGACGCGTCGCCGATGCTTTGCGGAAGGCTGGTAAGAGCCCAGCAGTCGGTGACCATCAGGCGACGGAGGTTGGGAACCTGGCAGAGGGAATCCGGGAGCGAAGTGAACCAGCATTTCTCAATGTGGAGCGTTTCCAGAGCCACGAGATTCGACACAGCGCTCTCAAGCTCCGGTAAAGCGTCCAGTTCCCACAGCTTCAGAACCTTGAGAGACGGGAGATGGAAGAATGAATGCGGAAGCTCGCGTAGGGACCGGTTGAGGTAGAGAAGAACATTCTCGAGGTTGTGAAGCTGGCCGATGCTGTCGGGAAGGTATTTCAACGGCACGGCGCGGAAAATCTCCAGTTTCTTTAACGAGCAAAGATCGCCGATGGAATCCGGCAGACCCTGAAGCCGCTTGCAGTTGGAAATGCTCAGCTCGGTCAATGCGGTGAGCCGGCCGATCGAATTGGGTAGATTTGTGATGTGCAGGCACTCCAATGTCAACCTCTTCAGGGACTTCAGCCTGCCGAACTGATTCGGGAACTCGCCGAGTCCGAAACCGAGTGTGACATCCGTTAATGAGGTTAAACCGAAGAAAGAAATCGGCATCTGCTGAATCTTCACGGATATCTTCAGCGATAGTAACTGCAGGTCAGTGCAAGAAGTGAACAGTGTATCTAGCCCCGTACGAGTAATTACGGAATGTCCAGAATCGCTAAGTTGCAGATGTGTCAATTTAGGACAGGCGGAACTTAGACCGGCAAGGAGATCGTCGCCCGGATCCGTGGAACCCCAGATCGCTACAGACGTCAGGTTCTTAAACTGATGAAGGGGTTTGAGAACGTGGGTGGTTAGGACAACGCCCCTGAAGGAGATCGACGTTTGGGTAAGACAAACAACGCGATACCATCGTTTACATACTAGGGCCAGAGAGAAATGCGCAGCTGACTGATTGAACCTCTCACGGAGGATCATGCTGAGGAGATCGTCCGACAAGTGGTCGAACGTCACGCGAGACGACCCCATGCGACAGAGTGACATAGCTAGCAAGGTAACGCGGAGAGGATGGTCTAAGGCGTATTAGGACGTATGTCTGAGTTCCGCTCCAAATAGGTAAATGATCGTGATTCAAAAGCTATGCAGCTGCACAACTAGCTGCTGGTATACTATCTCCTCTTCCTAAACGTCAAGATTCAAGATTTTGCTGAAGAAGCCAGTGACTGAGCTGAGCGAACTCGTTTCAACTCGGGAGGGACTGGATGATCTCATCTGACAAAAATGCCTGACAGTGCCCCCAACTGTCAAGCACCATCCAGAGTTTCTCCAGCTGTTAGTATGGTGAGTTGTAGTTTCGTGCAGAAACGAGGTGTGCAGTGGTGTTTAATTTGATTCTTCAGGGTGGGACTTCATCACTTCGGCTCTCAACTGACAGTGTTCCCGCATCGAGGGTAGGTTTTCAAAATCCAACCCTTGAGATAATGGTGCTACTGCTGATTCAACAGGCAGGCAATAGCAAGCGGGAATCTCAGCCGCATGTGCGCGAAATAGGCAAACTCAGCACAAACGTTATGCACCGAACTAAACATGACAAAATGGGTGCTGAAGCTTCCTGTGACTACCAGCCCCCATTCTTAGTGTGACTGACTACTTACAATTCCTGGTCCAACTTACCACACCCATTGGTTTGATGAAATACAAGCTCACATTTTTTTTTTAGTTTAAATAGCTGCATTATTGGTATGCTAAATTCTCTATCTCAAACATTCTTCTAATAAAATCTTCTAACTAGGATATACATGTCAAGTCCCACCGTGAGCGGAAGAAGTTTTTTAAACATGCAAGCATTCATGAAATCTCATGCCAGGGTGCACTCTGTTCAGTGCCCTTCATAACATCAAAACAAGGTATATGCCACACTTATTTGCCACTACTGCTCCTACTTTCTCCAGAAGGCAGAATGTCATGACGAGTACGAGAAAGAAGGGCTGTAATGGGGGAACATGAGGCAGTGAAAGCTAATGCAAGAAACAGCCTGGATGATGCAGCAGTTACAAAAGCACAATGTCTTTTGAGAATGTCAGGCACACGAAGAAGAAAACTTCGGGAGGGAGACGGGCTGTTGAATAATAGGTGGGAGCAGGGAAGGGGAAGAGGATGGGAGGTTCAAGGGAGAGAAGGCGGTGAAGGCGGTGTGGTGATGGCGGGGAGGAAGAGGGGGGTTGGTGGTGGTGGTGGTGGGGGGGGGGGGAGGGGGTGGGGGGTGGGTACATTTGTACTTGAAGCTTTGGATGTCACCAGACAATGCCTCATGCGAGGGAAGGGACGAGGCGCTATCACTGCGACAAGAGACAGACAACAGCTGGTAAGGGAAGAAGGAAGGATGACAGTCAAGCCGATGGGAGGCTGAATGCAGAACAATAGCAGGGATACACAACATTTGTTACGATATGAAGTTTTATGAGTAGGCATTCCTGTATGCTGCAGGAGCCGACTCTACCGAGTACGAAGTCGAGGAGTCAGAAGAGTCGAAGCGACGCAGCAACCGCCTGACCAAGACCGATGCTGGCAGAAACATTTGAAGTGAAAAGAGCGGGAACAGGTTTGAAACGGGTTCCCGCGCCGCACGGTTTGAATTCGGTTGTAATAAGGGAATGTACCCCTTAGAGTACATGGCTAGTCTAGGTCTTTTCGTATTCCCCTGTATTCTTATATAAACCCGATGT